ATATTATATTATATTATATATTTATAATAAATTATATTATTAATAATAAAATATATAATAATATCATTATTATTATATTTATATATAAATATATACCTTAATATAAACATATATTTTTATATAATAATATTCATAAATATATATCGTTTTAAAAAAGGTGGCATATATGGTTTATAAACATAAGTAAAATGATTTGGCAATTTGGCGGGTGTTGGGATTTCGTCCATTGTACAATTTATAAGTTAGGATACAAGTATATTGATGAGAGGCAGTAACAGTTACCTATCTTCGAACTACTCTCGTTATTCTGTGCCTACGATCCCTTTATGAAGTGAACCCATAGCGGCTACAGCTTCACTTAGGCGATCAACATACTCCGCATTATTGGCTGACTAAACCTCAACGACCTCCCTTCCAAGAAATAACTTCGCGAGCTTCCTTGTACGGGTCAACATGCAACCCGATTGCTCTCAACACCAATTTAGAAGGCTGTCGTCCCGTATGAGCCTTCAGTCTTTCAATCAGCTGAGCTGCACTGAGGGCCGGCTCCTTCAAATGAAGCTGTTGAATAAACTCCAACTCTTGCTTCTCCATGGCGGTGGGCTTCTGCTGTCTTTGCGAACTCATGATGTTAGGCCAGAGATATGATAGTCTGTGTATACCTTGCTGTGATATGGCGGAAGGGGCATTGCAGCCGGGATTCCCAGGGTTTATATGTCTTTTGGCTACAAAGGCTCTTTGCATTCCAAGCCGGTGACGATCTCTAACAAGAAGGTAAGAAGTAAGACAAAGTATATCGTCCTCTATCCTCCGTACAGCCGTCTTTGTTGACCGGATAACAGCTTTGTTAGGTGTATATATAGTACGAGTAGCTGGTTATTGTTCAGTCACTACCCCCCATGTCAAGCATGGCTGATCCAGATTACCGGGTCTTACCACGCTACCAAATTCGAGACAAAACTAATGGGCCCACTTCTATATGCGAGCCCTTTCAAAGGCACACTATAATATTGTAGATAATAATGCTGCGAGATAGGATCTGTAGAAGAGCAAAAAGAGAAAAATACGACGCAGGCCTGATTCGAACAGACGCCCCCGAAGGGAATAGATGGGCTAGAGACCTACTGAGGAACACCATTGATGCTCTCAGAAATTGTTCTAGTCTATCGCGTTAGACCACTCCGCCACTGCGCCGCTGTCACTGGCGATGATTCGCTGGATGAAAATTTTGTCACCAATGCTTTCTTATGTAGTGCATATTTGCAGGATTTTCACTGCAACCTCATAGGTGGTGGCGTCGTTGATTGGCACTGTGTTATAGTGTTGAACACTAGATCCATTCTCGAGAGTGGGCTTAGAAGTCAAGCTCTCCACTTGTTGACGTATGGAGGCATGAAAGTCATTCTAGGAGTCAATTGGATAGTGAGGAGAATGTGTAATCAGAGAGATATGATGGGTTGGAGAAAAACTGGGAGTTCTAGTCTCAACGTCCACATGAACATGAACATGAACATGAACATGAACATGGGGTGTATTACGCTTGTGTATTATTCCCAACCATTAGCTCTCAACCGTCTGGTCGGACTCGAAGCGACTCGAAGCGTAACCCATCCTGGTCGCATGTCTATTGAGACACGGGTATAACATAGGCTTCTACCTACCCTCATAGGAAATTTCTGTATCATGGTTAAGCGCGAATTTGACTGGAAAAGGCCTCAAGCCAAGACTCGTCCCGGAGTTGGGGACTCGAGTATATAGCGCTTGGTTTCAAGTGTGACCCTGGTTCGGTGACGGCCCATTGAAGAGTTGCCATCGGGGGTATCATGTGACGAGTAGAATATAGGGAAGGAAAAACACGATGCTATAATGATTAAGAGGCAACTAATGAGGTTTACTAATGTTACTTGGAAGTGTATAGGATAACGTAAAAAGACGTCGAACATGGACGCATGGATGTTCATAGAAATAGGTACATACCTCATAGTTGAGACCATTCGGGACTGATAAGATAAGAAGCTCAATAAAAATGGAATGGTGGGGGTTCTTGGCGGGGCAATTCTGCTCGACTGCAACGTCTGTGGCATCTGTGACATAGCTTGCATCTGATGATGAAAGATGCTCCGCAATTGACTTGCCATTGACCTCAGCGTTTCCTCTCAATTGCCATACCGCTTCGATGCGAAAATCTCTATTCGTATAGCTCATGATTATACCAAGGTAGACGGCTTGGAGAGGACTGTAGAATATAGGTTATTACGTATTGCAAAACGTTGAATGCCATTTGCTTGGCCCTGTTCCGAAATCATTCGGGTTACCCCACCCTGACGTCCCGAGCTGGACCTGACGGTTTTGGAGGGGTAAAAACGTTCAAGCTCGCCCGGCATATTACCTAGATCTGCTACCTTCATGTAGACGCCTGAAGAAACTCGAGATACCCGTCCGTTGCTCCGTAAAGTATCCGGAACGGCAGATGAGCCACTAGTGGAAAGCCAAAGGTCAGAAAGGGAGCTTTGACCAGAATGTCAACTAACCTAGTCAACTGGTCAATAGATGATACAATTTGGCACTCGCGTAATAATCCGGGTCCCAGCTCCCCATAGTACCTTCCTTGCCTCCATAATAAATTCTCGGCCGTCTGCGTCACCGTGGATCTGGTCTGACCCAACAGCCCCTCCAAAGCCCGTGGGCCCCCTCTTCCTCGTTCAACTTTTTCTCGCCGTCACTTCTTTAATTCCCTCAGAGTCCTCACCAGTTCTACAACAAACGATACACTTTTCCCAGCATTTGTGTTTCTTACATTATCTTCCTAATCACATACTACCGTGACACCCAGACAAAGACCCTATATCCCCTCAATTGTTCTGCATTACTCAATTCACAATGGGTTTGATGGATAAGCTGAACCTCAAGCCTGGCGTCATCTACGGCCAGGATGTCTTGAAGGTAAGTTACCAAGCTACTATGCTACTCCCCAATATCTGATCTCCAAAGAGAATCATTCGTCTAACATGCGCTGCCTCCCTAGGTATTCCAATACGCCAAAGAGAACGAGTTCGCTCTCCCCGCCGTCAACGTCACCTCATCCTCTACTGTCGTTGCCGTCCTTGAAGCCGCCAAGGAATCCAGATCCCCCGTCGTTATCCAAGTCTCCAACGGCGGCGCTGCTTTCTTCGCTGGCAAGTCTATCTCTAACACCAACCAAGAAGCTTCCATCGCTGGCGCTGTCGCTGCGGCACACTACGTCCGCGCGATTGCTCCCATCTACGGTGTTCCCGTCATCTTGCACAGCGACCACTGCGCCAAGAAGCTACTCCCATGGCTAGACGGTATGCTCGACGCCGACGAGGCTTGGTTCAAGCAGCACGGAACACCCCTCTTCAGCAGTCACATGATCGACTTGTCAGAGGAGGACCTCAAGTACAACATTGAGACAACAGCCAAATACCTTAAGCGATCGCAGCCGTTGGGTCTATGGCTAGAAATGGAGGTTGGCTTGACAGGTGGTGAGGAGGATGGTGTCAACAACGAGGATGTCGACAACAACTCCCTATACACACAGCCCGAGGATATCCTTGCCATCTACGAGGCGCTAAGCCCCATCTCTAACTTCTTCAGCATTGCTGCTGGTTTCGGTAACGTCCACGGTGTCTACCAACCTGGCAATGTACGACTTCACCCCGAACTGCTCGGCAAGCACCAGGCCCACGTCGCTGCCAAGCTCAATGACGGCCAGAAGAAGCCCGTCTTCTTCGTCTTCCACGGTGGTTCTGGCTCCAGCAAGGCTGAATTCTTGGAGGCCATTTCCCACGGTGTGGTCAAGGTCAACCTCGACACGGATCTTCAGTGGGCTTACCTAGTCGGCCACCGAGACTACATCCTCAACAACATTGACTACCTGAGGACTCAAGTTGGCAACCCCGAGGGTCCTCACAAGCCGAACAAGAAGAAGTACGACCCCCGTGTGTGGGTGAGAGAGGGTGAGAAGACCATGAAGGCTCGTGTCATCGAGGCTTTTGAAGACTTCCGCACAGCCGGAAAGCTATGAGTTAACTGAATTGGGCGAATGGGGGCGTTGTCGGGCATAGGTAGTTCTCGATTGAGTACCTAGGTAGTTGCCAAACGGTCAAAAATGATACAGTATGACTTAAACCTGGCACTGCTCTTCCGTGGATTGCGCTCTCATAATGCGATAGACTCTCAATTAAATCATATTCACAGAGGCTCTATTGTCTACTGTTTCGCCTCCATTCCGTGTGTCTCCGTATAGCGTACCCGAGATCTCCAACAGATAGCCGAGGTCCGGGTCGTTTGTAATAGCCAAGAATCGGATCGGGATCGATAATTCCATTAATCAAGGACCTCGGGACAAAACGTAATAGTATATTTCGAAATTCATTAATGGCATTGAGTCCCTCGTCGCCAGTCCTACCTTATGGATCGCGGGTAACGAGGCGGTCTAGTAGGCCCGCGGAAAGTTGAGACCTTGCGTCAGCTTGACGATGCAAATATTACCTGGCGCAGGGAAATACCTAGTTCTTACATTTACGCATTTAGTGCATATCCCTTCCTAGCTCTATATTCCAGGCTTCAAGATGCATCTCTCCATCATATTTCGTAAACTGAGCAGAATCCCGGGTTCAATGCGGGGCCAATTCTGACTTGCACCATATATCCTCAACGGGAATAACTTCCGGCTCACCGTTTTTAGTCTGTGTACAGCTTCGGTTTAGCAGCGTGTCTTCTAATATCAACTTCGTAAAAAGGGCCCACTCCATTGAGAAATTCTTCAACGGGAAATGGCCAAGCAATGCTCAAGTAGTATATCAACGGGACCGGCGCAACCACGAAAATACCCTGTTCCTGCAGAGTAAATGGCACACGACATTGCTATCAGATCTCACTTTTTCTTGTGAAGTCGGATACTGACACGGCTACCTCGCAGGTACAAATTAGATACCGATCTCAGTCACCGTATTACTTAACCTTCGCAGTGTTGGCTCAGATATATGCTACCCCTCCCCCTAACTTGATGCCTTCCAGCTTTTACAGTCTTTATCATTGGTGCATGTTCCACCGCATCGCAGATGTGGTGGCCATCTAGGGAGAGCGTACCAGGGGTTCCTGGAGGCATTCGCTCACCCTGCATGCGCCACGTCCTAGTTCCCGCCATAACGCGTGCTACGGTGGCGCTAGGGAGCCAAGTGCATACTTCAAGCTTTGCCTTGCACATCCCGACGACTCCTACCGACTTACAAATACGCGGGGTGTCATGTCATGTTGATTACTCCGCATCGAACTCTAGAAGTGATCTCGAAATAACGTAGGTGCCCCTATCATAAAAAGCTGATGTAGGTGCGTTGCTTTCTTCCATCCGGTCGTGGGGAGTAGACAGAACGAATTTTCAGCGGTGTGGATGACCAGGAGGCATTTAACTTCATTCACGAGGCTCATCAAAACAAACCTACTCATCTGATATACACAGCTCACGACTGTAATGGCAATTATCGACCAGCTCATATCACCTTGGACATTGGTGGTTGGGTGTGTTGCCCTTGTGGCCTACTACCTTTACCCATACCTGGTGACATACAGCCACCTTCGCGATATTCCTGCACCCTTCCCGGCGCGGTTCACCAACCTATGGCTCCTATATGCCGCTAGGCGAGGGAAACGCCACATCATTGTGGACGAGGTTCACAAGAAATTAGGGCCAGTCGTGCGGATCCAACCGAACCACATCAGCATTGCCGATGACGACGCCATTCAAGTCGTTTACGGTCACGGCAATGGATTTCTCAAGTCGGACTTCTATGATGCCTTCGTGTCCATTAGGCGCGGCCTGTTCAACACTCGGGATCGCGCCGAGCATACTCGCAAGAGGAAGCTGATCTCTAGTACCTTTGCTCCGAAGGCGATTGCACAGTTCGAGCCTTACATCCATCAGAACCTTGAAGTATTCGTCGACAGATGGGACGAGCTAGTCCAAAAGGCTCCTAGCGCGGAAAAGACGGCGTATATCGACTGTCTGAAATGGTTCAACTACGTTGCTTTCGACACGATCGGAGATTTGGCATTCGGCGCTCCGTTCGGCATGTTGAAAGCGGGGGCCGACATGGCCGAGGTACGCATGGCGGTAGACTCCGCTCCCGTATACCTACCGGCCGTCGAGATCCTTAATCGCCGCGGAGAGGTGT